TCACCCGGCTGCTGTCACCCAGCCTTGCAGAATCGTTTCTGAGAACAAGGTCCTATTTGATTCAGTTCTGTTTGGGTGATAATCATTGTCTGAATAAAAAATAAATACATAACTTCTGAAGGATATTTTCATGGAAAATATACCAGTTTCAAAGCATAAACCCATAAACATTTGTTACAGCTAAAAGAATAAAATTTAACAAGTTTCTGCGAGCATTTTTGAGAATTTTTTGATATTATATGTGCATGCTGTTCCTAAGTATTCTTATGGTTCTTTCACTGCGCATGTATTGCATACCAGTATGCAATAAATACTAAGCTACAAACTAAAGAGGAGAAATAACCCTTGGCAAAGGTACCTTTGTCAGTTAATATGTCCCTATCTTCTCTCTTTTAATGATCTAGTTTGTTTAAATCAATGAAAAAGCTTCTTATTCCTTTAAAGGAAATTACTGGGGTTTGATGGTTACAGTCTGTCCAGAAACTGGAATTACATTAAATTATTACCTAACAATTTGCAAAATAGAGATATAATAAAATAAATGTCTCACAAACAAACCCTATTTGAGTTATACTGTTAAAACCATGGTGATATTTTTTTTCATACTCAGAAGTGTATTTGCACAAAAGAATGGATATGAAAATGAAACTTGGAAAAGCAGACATACAAAATAACATCAACTTTTCTAAAGATACTTTCTGTTTTTTTTTTCCCTCAGTGAAAGTAATCTGTATTTTCTAACATTTAATAATCAAAAAGAAATAAAGTTTAGCTTATTAACATTACTGAAGACTTTAGTATATAAAATGTTCTCTGGTAATCTAAAAATATATTTAAATTTTCCCCCACAATGGCAGTTTTGAAAAAAATGTTTTTCTAAAATACTAATTTTAAGAAAATCATTTACACATTAAGAGAAGTGTGAAAAACTGTTAACATCAAAAAAGATCCTGATATTTAGAAGCACAGACACTTTTGCAGCAATGCAATAAATATGCTAGGTCCCTAAGCTCCAGATCAATTCAAGCTTCACACAATGCAACAAAATCACTCAAATAGTCTAATATCTCCTAATTCACATTGTATATTAAATCTATCTATTCTTGAAACTATTGCATAAGAAAAATACTAGCACAAAGTGGTTCTACATAACAGAGTTATTAGAATACACTTCTTCCTCATTATTCAACTGTGTCTTATACATGAAACATTATTAATTTATGTGGCCTTTTAAACCAAACTGTGTGGTTAATGATTCACGTACACATTTACCAACTGATGTGCTTTCAGTTGTGCGTCGGGTAAGTGCTGTAAGTTTCTTTGAGAAAACACCAAACTAGCACGTTTTCTCTTTTCCATATTAAAATCCGCCCAGGACTTAACAGCAGCAAGAATGACCCCTTGTCTAGTAAAATATGCTTCTCAAGGAGAGTGAGTAAACCTATGAGAAGTCGCCTGGGCACAGAATTTTCATCTTATTCATCAAAAAAAAAAAAAATCAAGTGAAAAAAACAACAGAATCACAAGGCTGGATACCCCTGCTCACACACAAGGTGCCCCAATGTTGCCACTTACTGTTTCCTTGCATGTGGAAGGCTCCACACACATAGCACCAAATTTCTGCACTTTCCAGACATGGCCCTCTCATTTCTTGGCGTTTCTCAGGACAGGAATGAGAGATCAAGGTGCTCAAGCATGTGTGGACTAACAGGCTGAAGGAAAACTGCAGCGTGGGCACAGATCTGTGCAAGTTTTTGCAATCTGCCTCCTTTTAGGGATCTGCTCGGAGCAGAGTGTCTTTTCTGACCTTCTCCTCTGGGCTGCTAGACTAAAAGAAGCAACACCTGGGACCAGAGGTAAGGAGACACTGACGCTGGGTTGCTACTGGAAATTTGGAAGAAACGTGTTGGAAATAGCACCTGGCGATGTCCCTGAAACCTGTATTCAGAAAGGCAGATGAAGGAGAGGACCTGGAGCCAGAGCAACTGCAGGGATGTGTGACTGTGTGGCTGTGGCTTGGCCCTTAGCACTTCACTAGCTAACTTTGGTGGTTTTTTTTTTTCTTTTCTTTTCCTGTCAGTTACTGGATATGTTTTTTTCTGTGGAATTATGTAGCGGTGATTAAAAAAAGGTTGGTGGGAAACTCTGTTATTCACAACACCCTGTTCTCTGCTGAGAAGAGCACAGCGCCTGGCTGCCGTGGCCCTCGGAGCCGAGGGTCTCGGCTTATTTTTAATGCATTTTTTGCTGTTGAAACACTCCTGCAGAACACATGCGAGCATAGTTATTGTTCAGAAGAATTGCACTCCAAAGCCTCATTTAAAGGGTGTGTGAAAAGTTTTCATTACAATCTGGAAGAAATATGTCAAAAAGCACTTTCTTTTCCGCATGTACTGTTCCTGCATGTCATACAGAGGACAGTAAAGGGTGAAGGTATCCAAAGACTACACCTATAATAGTAAAATATACTAGTAAAATAAAAAGAGCAAGGGCATGGGCCTAGGCACTGTCCCACATCTGTCTATGAGCCCAACTCTTGACATGGTTTTAGCCATTTCTCCCAGCATTTCTCCCCAGCCAGCAAGCAGGCCTTCTCCCTTTACTAGTATAAGTGAAGCTTCATGGGTTGGTAGGGGGAGAAAGGAATAAGAGTAGACCTATGACATATAGGAGAAAAACAAGTGGGCTTTCTTTCCAGAGAGATGTGGGGTTAGATAAGAGCTACCACAAGGGCCAAAGATTATGGAAATCTTTTCCATAGACCTTTGGGAACAAACCTGTCAAGGCAGAAGGCAGATTTTTTTCTCCCTTCCTGCCATTCCCACTGGGAGGATGCTCAGAACAGGACAGTGAATCCAGCCCTTGGCCGGCTCTTCTCCTCAACCCCTGGTTATGCCCTGGCCCTGTACTAGCCTGGACGCAGCACCATGTTGCAGCACCTTCGCGCCCGAGTCCGGACGCCAGTTTGTACCTTCCCCTGCTGCTCTCCCGAGCGCTGGTTGGGATACTACAGTTTGGGAAACGCTGCTCCCGTAATGAACTTTCCTGTGATTTCCAAACCCAAATGATTCTCAGTAGTTCCTGGGTCAACACTAACCTTTGGCTTAAATTGTTCTTGTCCCCCATATTGTTTTCCCCTCATAATGTGCTCACAGTCAGCAGTCATACTCCTTCCAGCCTTAGTTTAGTGGAGTGTAATACAGCAAGCCGCTCTACCAGGCAGCAGCTGCACCTATCTGTCTGACAGACTTTGAGGTTCATTTGGAAAAAAGAAACACCCCAACACTTACATTATCAGCCTTGGTTAGCACCTGGAGAGCTCTGGGAGAGCTCCCTGACGGCTGCTGGGAGCCGAGTGCCCCATAATGTACATGCCATAGCTCGGCGCTAGCCCAAATGCAGAATGGTTTTCAAAAGTGCTAAGCTTGGAGAAGACTTCCTTGTTACTGTTGCCAGGCCTGAATTTTGGCTTTCATGGTTGCTCCAATCTATTAAAATTGTTAATGCCAATTCCACTTGGGCCCATCCTCTTCCACGATATTAAAGCTCCATTGGCGCTCAGCTCCATCAGGCTGTGGAGGAAGAAGGCTGGGCGCCTGCCAGGTGCCACAGGAGCGCAAGGGCGCCCCGGCCCAGCCCAGCCACCAGGCCTTGGCAGGTGTGGCTGCTCCCTGGCTTCTCCAGTCACAGCGGGGGAAACCGTGTCGCTCAGCATGGTGCTGGGGACCTGCCTCTGCCAAGGCTGCAGCGAGCAAGCACGTGTTGCTAGCCCCGTGGCTAGTGAAGACCAGACAGCGATACGGAAGAGCAACCTAAAGGGCTATAAGAGGAATAGGCAGGGCTAGCAAGCGCACTTAGGCTAGCTGTATCACAGTAGTGCACAGTATTTCTGTGCTAACAGCAAGGGCCCACTCACCGCACCAATTCCCCCTAAGTTACATCTAGGTAAATGCACTGAAGTTATGGTAGGGAACAGCTTTTATGGATTTAAAATACTTCCTTTTCCGCTTTTTTTCACCCATACAGTACTAAAAAAATAAAAGCGTCTCTTTAAAATACTGAAAATATATTTTAGTTAAGGTAAAAATACTAAATATAAAAAAGCAATATTTAAAATAACTGTGCTAAAAAGACAGGTGAATTGCTTGGTTATTTTGACATTCAGTCATGGCACACTAACCCTAGTGGAGAAGCATGTGCCAATATACCCACATGGTGGTTTAGGAGAGAAGCTCATGCATTTCTGCATAGAAAACATATCTGCTTAAAAAGTGAAATCTAAGGGACTTTTGTGACACTAATGATCATGCACTGTGATGCATGGTAGGTGGTGAAGGTAAGGCAGCGCAGTGTACACCATACAGTACAGCAAAAATGTGTAACTGTGCTTCTTTGCAGGTAGAGGATTCTCTGCTTCTAAACTGGTAATGCTTTTATTTCTTTTCTATGTTCCTTTTTTGGCTGAAAATGAGAACAGGTTAAAGGGGAAAACCTGTCCTGATTTTCGCTGTCTCCCTTCATATCTTTGAGCTGCATATCAGTAAATTGTGAGCGAGAGAAAGAAAATGTGCTTGCAGCTGTTTTCTGAGAGCAATGACAGGTTGGAGGATGGGGTAGCATGTGCCTGGATTCCAACACAAACCAAGCATTTGGAAACCAAAAGGGTCTTTAGAGAACAAAATCCTAGAAAATGTTTTAAATCCTCTTTGCTGTACGCACACAAACTTAGCTAGATAATGACTTGTTTGTGTGCAAAAAAACCCTAACAAACAGTTGAGACATTTATTATGATGACTACTATCACTGTTATTTTTTATAGAGCAGAGAAACAATAAAATTATCCCAGTTTTCAAGTGGGAAAGCACCAGCATATAAACAGTAGCTGGATGAATTAACATATGTATCAGTTAACTGCAGGTTGCAGAGATATGATATTCAATATCTTTCAATGCCATTCTTTAAATATCACTGTAAATTATCACATAATAATAATAATAATAATAATAATAAAGTACCAAATCATGTTTCCCGGCTAGAGAGAGAGATTATTGCATCATGTTTTGGCAGTGACTCGATTATCTTACTCCACACTGGCAGCATTCAATATTAAAAGAATAAACAGCAAAACTGGTCAGCAGCTTCTCTTCCATCTGGAGTTTTCCCAGGTAGACAAACAAAACAAAAACAAAACAAACATAAAGCTGCAATGGGAACAGGTGAAAGCCCTGGCCCTTGCATTGCTCTGATGAAAGTAAACTATACGGATTTCCTTAGATAAGCTCATCACAATCCCAAAAGAAGAGCCAGGCGTGTAAAACCTCCAAATAATGATCTTCAGTGGAACAGCTATGTGATTTATATGGGGCAGTGGCCTTGTCAGCTACGTGTCTGGTTCATTTACAGGTTTGTCTTCAGTCAGCATTAGGATGCATTCACCTCACTGGAGTTTTGGCTGGATGACATGTGCGAGTCCAGATTCTCCTTGCATTTCTCCAAGTCGTGGAAATACGGGTGAGACAGGGCGACATAGGCAGATATTCTCTTGGCTGGATTGAATGCTAAGCATTTCTGTAAGTACGAAAAGAAGCTGGTTTTAACAAAAATGTGCAGTGAACTTTGCTAACATAGCATGTGCATACTAATGCATGTCACTGTCAAATATTGAACTGTTTTAGGCACAAAAGGATCTCACTAGGTGCTGTGTGATAACCATTCATATTAAAGGAATGGGGTCATAGGATACAAATGTGACCTCTCACAAGCTAATAGAGAACAGCAAGTTAGAACATTCCAGTATCCTTAGTTTAGGAAATCCCAGAAAACAGGTTTTCTGGAATTCAGATGCACAGGACATCTGTCTCACAGACTGCAGGGAACAACTGTTCCTAAAGAGTTTTTGAATTCTCTCAGTGTGTCTTGTGTGCTTTATTCCCTTTATATTCTAATATTTTGTGTTCATTTTTTTCCTACTTAAGACTTTATTCCCTTTATATTCTAAGATTTTGTGTTCATTTTTTTCCTACTTAAAAAAAAAACACACACACAGAAAAACAGATTCCATCATGTTGGAATAAAAACAAAAAATCCAAAAGTACACTAAAAATCTAACCTATGCCATTCTGTAAGAGTGCAGAAAGCCCAGCTCATCATGCTGGTCAGTAGTCTTTTCACCAGTGCATGCAATAGTTTTGTTGTGTCAGGATGTAGTGTGCTAGCTATGTGGGCTTATACTGTCTTTTTTTCAGTGTCCGTTCAGGACCCATCATAGTGTGGTCCTGGACACTTACGATGACTCCTGTGCACTTGGGCAGCACAAAGAGCTGCAGGATTTATTGCTGAATATTTATTGCTGCCTTTAGATCGTGGTTTTCTGTCACAGTAAAGAGAGCAGTACAAGCTGGTCACTGCTTGTGGAAACATTCCTGGACAGATAAATACTTTTGTAGGGGGTTTCACTTTTTGCAGGCAACAGGAGCAATGGCGACCTTCTCTGCTTTGCTTTTCATCCCAGCTCTCCCAGAGCTGCCCTCAAATGATCACAGCTACTGTGTTCATTCTCCCAAGTTACCCATTTTCTGCTTTGTTCTTATCTGCTTGTATCAGATCAATTTCTGTTTCTTACTAAATTGCAATCTCCAGTTTTAGGCTTTTTGTATCAATTTCAGTGTTCATATTCTGTTTATGCTAGACTCCCTTTCTAAGAACCCCTTCTAAAAGCCTCAGTGTCCCCTCAATATAAATCCCTGTCTTCCTCCTCCTAGTTGTTTTTCTTGTCTTCTTTCCAGGTCCTTATCCCAGCCTTTTCCCAACCTGCCTAGAACTTTCTAGAACTTTCCAGCACCTAGAACTTAGAAAAGCACATCAGAACCTCACCAGAAGTAAATCTTTGCCCAGTTCATCAATATCTGGTACAAACTTTTCAATAGGTTGTGCGGGCCTGGAAGTGAAAGCATTTCTGGGAAGGGCAACATCATTAGGCCAGTCCTCTTCTTCTGGGAGTCCAATTACACTGTGAAAGGAAAAATATAACGTTAACTCTGGATATTTATGCAACTCTCTCCTTTATATTGATTCTATGAAGCAGCAGTTTGCTTTATCAGTGAGTCTATTAGTTTAGCTGCAATTACTTGTACAGCAATGCACTGAGGACTGTGAAGAGAGGGAGATGGGTGTAGGTCCTCCACATGCTTTGTAGAAATTACTGTGTGTCCAGCCTAGTCTTCTGGCTTAGCTCTCAATTTTCTAAATCTTCGAGTTGAGAAAGGGTTGAATGTTTTGGAAGAAATTTGCTCAGCTCTTGTCTGGATGGCGCAACATATGTCACTCCAGGATGATTAAAAGCAGGAAACTTCAAAGGGGAATCTCATGCAAGGATCTTAATTCACAAGAATAAGGACTGAGAGAAGACTATGGGTCATGATGAGGGTAAGGCAATAAAAGGGAATTTCATAATGCTTCAAAGCTGTGTGCAGTAATTGTTGCCCAAAGTTAAACAATTTATTTGCTTTGCAATACAGGTTCTAAAGTCTCAGTTCAAAAGTGGCATAGGAGCTAAGGGCCATTTTGTTTTTACTTTCAATTTTATTAGAATATTTATTAGAGTATTTTAAATCTCTATCATTTATTTCTCTTTTATTTTCATTTCAGAAGGTACTTACATTTATGAAATAATCATGCTAAGGCCTGAAAACCCAAATACACGAATCATTAGGGGAACTCTAATCCAGAAACTTCCAATGTTTCTGCATCACATCTCCTACATTTCACGTTTTGGTCTGATGTTAATGTTTGTGGTGATAAAATGCCATTTCTCAATGGAAATTCTGGAAAAGAATATGTGTGTTACTTGCTAAGTTTTAGGGAAAAATCAATTTCTATGGTCTGTAAAAATGAGATTTTTATTAGAAATGTTGCCAGGGTAGGAAGATGAAAAAAAAAAAAAGCATTAAAAGCTTAGGTCTGCACTAAATCCAATGCCACTAGGGAGCAGCATCGTCCTTTTTTAATTAATTGAGTTTGATAATTGCCTGGGTGAGGCCAAGGGTCAAACATTTTCATGTAAAACATAAGCCACCTCACTGAACTTAGTGGAATTATTTCATATTTACATGGGTTCTAGATTGTAAATTTGCTTCATTTAAAATGCCTCTGAAAGCTAATACCTTGTCCTCAAAATAACAGCATGACCAGGAGGGCAAAGTAATTACAGTCTCAGGGCAATTTATTTTTGCAGTTTCTAAAGACATCAGCACTGTTGGGAAAAGACGAGCTAAATCCGCGTGAAAAATTAAATGTGATTTTTGCCACCACAGGCATGTGGGGAATGGGATGACTCCCTTGCCCACAGTGGTTGCTACCATATGATCAGCGGCGTGAGGAGCTGGACCCAGATTAAACATCACACAGAGAGCATCACAGGACCATGTGGGAGTTAAATATTCTAAATGACAAGGGCGTTTAACCTGCGATTCAAACAGGTCCTGTTAGTCCCAGGTCTGTTTATATTACACAAGAGACACATACGGAGCAGGGTAAGTGTAGTAGGCACAGGCAGGACGAGCAGAGAGCCATGAGGCAGCTTGGTGCTCAGGGAGCAGGGACAAGTCCAGGAAGGGAGAAGAAAGACATTTGAGTTATCCACACACACTATTTTAAAATCATAATAAGGAGTTTCGTAAAAAAAATACCCTTAATAATGAGTAGTTGCCCCTGTTCTGCTCTGGTAGCACAGCCACGTCAGGGACTAAGCTTGGGAGAAGCTAGGAGGAGCTTCACCTCCTGCCACAGTCTCAGGCCTGGTCTTGGGAAAGTCGAGTGTCTTCCTTGCTGCTGATCACATGGGGAGACAAGTCTGCTCGTGGCATGGCAGCAGCCAGCCTGAAATCTGGGAGGACATCCCGCATGCTGGCAGGGTCCCTGGAAAGCAGGAAATCGTTCTGGACCACGTCCTCGGGATTTGCCCTTGCGCTCCGTGGGAGCTACCTGATGCAAATAAGGGCAGCACGTGGGAAACAAAAGTAGAGCACAGCCCTCAGGGCCAAAAGGGCACATCGGTCCGGTGTGCCCAAAAATCCTCGAGCAGCTTTCTGTCCAAATTAGCCTGGAGAATGACTCACTGCTGCAGAGAGAAACAATCCTCCTACAAAAAGAGCTATGCCTAACTCTCCAGCTGTGAAAACACCAAAATAAACACTATTTAGCATGAAATCCCCCCCAAACCCAGGAAAGAGACTTTGGAACTATTTAAGGGGTTGCACAAAGAGAAGCAGAAGCAAACTTTCTCTTTAAGTAGATGTGTAATGAGGAATTTCTTCTAAAATTAGCACAGCATTTATTCTTCTTGATTAAGGGTTGAATTCTTTTCTGTACAGGTAATCCTGCCCCCTAGGGATGGAAAGATCCCTGTTGGAGGCTGCTGCTAGCTGGTGTGTGTTTAATCCTATCTCCAATCATTTGGAATTTTTTCTTTAAATGTCATATTACAAATGAAAATCTTCAGAAAAGTCACAGCTAAATCTGTTTCTTTTTCTTTTCTTTTTTCTTTTTCTTTTTCTTTTTTTTTTTTTTTTTTACAGAACATGCTGCGTGTGTTGGAACTGTCTTCATTTACTAAAGCAGCATATACTAGCACCAGGAGAGCAGCTTTGCCAGAAGAAGAAAAAGTAAACTTTAAGGGCTGATTTTTCTGGATTGGGCAGGAAGAGCTATTCAGCGCATGACAAATTAACCACGCAAGTGAGTCACATACACTGGTATGGTATGCAGGAAAGGGAAGTCAACTGTGCGAAATCAAGACCTGCAATTTAGGAACCCCATATTAAATAATGAAAATGCTTAGAAACAGATCTGTTATGATTTGAGAAGTGGTAAACATGGCTAAACAGAGAAATTCATTATTTGATCAGTTTAACTGGAAGTTTTACTCTCTTCTCTTTGGAATATCTTCAGGGGAATACTGCCTCAACCTTCGATCTAGGTCTGTCTCTCACTTTGCCTACTGACCTTTTCTGTCTTCCAGACACCTGGATCCCTGCAGCCCTCTGGTACCAGAAGGGAAGACAGAGGTGCGTGCATATGTTTCTTAAAAATTCAGAAACATTCCTGGCTCTGACGAGCTTTTACACAAAAGAGGTGATTTATTCTCATTTAATTATCATATTGATAATATCAGTCATTCTTAAGTGATTTCTTAAAACTAAAACCATATTTTGGAAGTGAATTATTCTAACCAAAATGTTCAGTGTATACCTGAAGAACACAAATATGAATTTTGAATATTTTAAAATGGTTTTAAAATAAAGCCAATTAGGCCATCTCCAACAAAATATACATTTATAATGCTGATATTCCTTCTGTTCTCACAGTTCCTTTCACTACAAAAATATGATTGTTAATCATTTTAACAGGCTACACAACATATTTTAAATATCTTCTTCTGTACAGAAGTCACTGGTTAGCACCTTCAAGATTTCATTTTGGTAACAATCTAAGGGATTCTAATGTTTCCTGAAATATACCAATCACAGAGAAAACAACTCTGTTTATAAATGAAGCGAATCTCCTGAGTCTCTCTAACTGTTTGGGAAGGTGCGCGAATGCATGCATCACGCAAATGTGTTTAAAAGATTTTAAAAAGCCCCAAAGAGCAGCTTCTCCTG